AAAAAGGACAGTGCCAAAGTGCACGGTTTACACAAAAGCAAACAATGTGACAAAGTCAGGTTAAACATTAACAATCTGGTAACTTTACCAAAAGATTCAACAATAAAGAACACCAGATATTTGGCATATGTAGCCATGAAGGCCAGTAAAGGTTTTCCCATGTTGGAAATGTTACATGTGTGTATCTCTCGTTCAAGAGATACACACATTTAAAAAAAATTGAGGTAAGATCAGTTATGTACGGAGCCATTTCCATTTATTTATTCATTCGTCCGCCTGTTTTGGTCAACTGAGGTCAATTGTGCTAATTAATGCCCTTGTTAAAACGTATAGCCAAGATTTAACTAAATTTAAAAAAGGGAACAAATGAATAAAGAAGGCCAAATTAATCATTAACAAATTCATAATTCAAGCAACAATCTTTTTCCTGTATGCCATGTGCGTGTAGTAATGACATGGATTTTTACAATTATTTTAATATTATTGAGGACACACATTCAAAAAAACAAATATACAGTTGTAATCAAAATTATTCAACCCCCATTGCAAATCAGGTTTATTGGCACAATTTACAGAATTTCAGCTGTTTGCAAGGAACAAATAAAACAAAAGTAATTGAAATAGCTCAACTCAACAAAAGTGGTTTCCCCAAATTCAACTGACTTCTGTGGTCTCAACATTATTCAACCCCCCCGAATACTCACAAAAGCACAAATCCGCAAAACAGGTGTTGTCTCAAGTACGATCCAAAGCTACGTGCTTTACACATTTATTGACACTTAAAAAGGTGTTGTTATAGAACAGGAAAGGGAGGAATAGCTTCTCTTGAAAGTCTATAAAGTAGGATAGTTTGTGGAGGTTTGATGGAGATCGAATGATCAGGTTTGCTGGACAAGCAGATGATAATGTTTAATCATTATCCTGACAACCAATTTATGATAGACATAATTGATATATTCATTATAATTCTTATCGATTATTGATAGTACAATGATCTATTTTCGCCAACCTGGATGGAGAACTGATCATAATTCGTTGTGTTCGGCTGTCCAAACAGGCCATTGGTAACTTTTCCCTTTAGGCCTACAGGTAATTTTATATTTTGTAGGTGATTCCCCGATCATGTTTCATGATTAGTTATTAAAATGATATTCCTGGTATCTGAGCTAATAGGAATATCCCAGGTTCCCTACACCAGACAGCTGACAGTAGCCATGGACTTCCATATTTTTTTCCTATATGGAAGTCAATGATAGCATCAACTGATTGATTACCAACATTCTTTAACATAAATTCTTTTGTGTTCAACAGAAAAAATAAAAGCCTAAATTCAGTCTGTTCATCTTAAAAAGAGATTGCGTCTCAATTCATATGGATTATTTTTACGATCTCTTTTAACTTTTTGAAGCGTCAAAGTGGTAGAATCATCTAATTACGGAAATTGTCAATGGAGGGAAAGAAAGCTCTCAGATTTCATCAAAAAGATCTTAATTAGTGTTCCGAAGATGATGAAAGGCTTATCGGTTTGGGATGATATGAGGGGGAGAGTAAAATATGACAGGATTTTTGAGTGAACTATCTCTTTAACAACAATCCCATGAAGCATTGCAAAATATGCATATATATAAAAATATTGAAGTATTTTGAAAGCGTAGGGAGACCAGCCTGATTACAACATGACATCATGACTTTTCATGGCATCATGTCTTTTGAGTAAACATACACGCCACTTTCAAGTCAAGTGGCGTGTTATCTCTACGCATTTTGATCTATCCGCGTGTACGCGTGTGTCTACGCCGTTAAATGTCCGAGTAATTCCGCGCGTATGTACACGCCGTTAAATGTCAGAGCGAAATGAAGCAAAATGTAGATTTTCCATAGGGGAAGACTCATAAATGTTATAAACCCCAGTGACGGGTAGGTTTACGCCGCCTTCACACTGGCAGTTGAAATCAGCTCCGATGCGGCTGCGAAACGACCGGAAGTCATTCATTTCCTATGGAGATTCGCAGACCGCATGCGAATGGGTCCGAAACGGGTCCGACCGAGTTCGGTGCGAAGAAAGTCGTGTCCGTTGGTCATCCGGATGCGTTCAAAAATTCGAACTCTTGCGAAAAGCTACGGACGGTTCCTATCCGACAATTCCAGCGGAAGTTTACCGTTGCTATGGTACTGATAAACAAACCTGAATTATTAACTTTTAATAAAATAAATATTGATTTTATAACGATAAGTTGTGATGTCATTTTTTATTTTCATGACTTTCTAACGTTTATAAGGGCAGTTAATACAATTAAATTAAAGGTAGACATTGAACTATTGACCACTATATGACATTTTTTAGCCGACCTGACATGTCAACGTCCTGAGCAACTTTCCTCACGCAGCATAACCCTAATCAGAGAGATCATACAGAACTGACAGAATCAAACTTTAATCTCTCCGCCATTTTTGTTCTACCCGCGTCCGACGCTTTTCACTGTGTAGTACGACGTCCGTTGGGAACGTATTGCGTATTACGGAGCTGATTTCAACTGCCAGTGTGAAGGCGGTGTTAGGGACGGGGTAGAGGTAGGTCATATATTTATATATACAGTAATGAAACGTTAAGTTAACGGCGTTTATAAACACACTGAAAAGCGATTATGTGTGTGAATAGCACGGCAAAAATGGAAATACAAATTGCCGTGTCATACATACGTCATTTCATGAGATCAGTGTGCTGATTCTGTCATTCGCAGTCCTTCATGAGCTATTGGTGGAATCTAGGAAATCTCTAGAACCAGTTCTTTGTGTTTCGACAGCCAAAGAACCGCTTCGCGGGCGGGAAAACTGGTTCCAAAGCGGCACCAACTCTTTGCTGGACTAGAACCGTTCTTTTAGCATGTCATGTTTACGTCGGGGGCTGGGGCGGGTTTAGATGTGTTCTAAACATCTTTTCTGACCATCTCAAAGCCAGGAGAAACTGCAGAAACACGCAAGCGTTTTTATTTATTTATTTATTTTATTTGAAACATGTCACGATATAGAACAAATAAATGAAAAGAAAAAAGACACACGACAGGGTGTCTAACTTATCAAGATTACATATCAAACGAAAAGATTAAAAGACTTACATATTTCAATTGTTTTTAAAGTTTTCTTGGTACACGAGTTAGAGATAATCCCAAAGCAATGTACTTGCAAGGGTTTCTAGCGACGTACACAGTGACGTAACAAGTGACGTCGTTCCCTGGGCGCTTTAGACAGGTTGTTAACGGGTTCGCAAGTTGAACCAACTCCGAACCAACTTTTAACCAGCACCAGTTACGAACCAGTTCTTTTTGCGTGGAAAAGGGGTATAGGAGACCTCGGACTTATGCAAGGATCCTCTTTGTGGACTTCAGTCCGGCCAATCCCATCATGCCTGATCTTCTCACAGCCAAACTGTCCCAGCTCTCCATGCTATCCTCGATCTGTCAGTGGATCTCCAGCTTCCTGACGGACCGGCAGCAGTGAGTGAGACTGGGGAAATTCACATCCAGGACTCTCACCACCAGCACTGGCGCCCCCCAAGGGTGGGTCCTCTCCCTGTACACCAACGACTGCACTTCTAAAGACCCCTCTGTCAAGCTCCTGAAATTTGCAGATGACACCACTGTCATCAGTCTCATCCGAAACGGTGACGGCTCTGCTTACAGACTGGAGGTTGAACGGCTGTCTGTCTGGTGCAGTTATATCAACCTTGGGCTGAACACGTTCAAACCAGTGGAGATGATAGTGGACTTCAGGAGGAACAGCTCAGCACTCCCTCCACTCACCATCATGAACAGCACTGTGGAAGCAGTGGAGTCATTCAGGTTCCTGGGGACTACCATATCTCAGGAAATGAAGTGGGATAATCACATTGTGAAAAAGGCCCAGCAGAGACTGTACTTCCTTCGCCAGCTGAGGAAGTTCAACCTGCCACAGGAGCTGCTGATTCAGTTCTGCTCAGCCGTCATTCAGTCTGTTCTATGCACATCCATCACTGTCTGGTTTGGTTCTGCTACCAAATCAGACATCAGGAGACTGCAACGGACAGTCCGGACTGCGGAGAGGATTATTGGTGCCCCCCTGCCAACCCTCCGGGACCTGTCCTCTTCCAGAGTGAGGAAGAAAGCAGGTAAAATCATTACAGACTCCACTCACCCTGGACACCACCTGTTTGATCTGTTACCGTCAAGACAGCGACTCAGATCACTGGCCACAAAAACATCTTGGCACAGCCACAGGCCATTTCCCTCCTGAACAGTTAAGACACTTCCCTAAGTACAATACTGTCTGTTGCTGTTTAGTGCAATATCTTAAAACACTGTAAATACACTCATAATTTATGAATCTGAAAATGTTTATTCTGACTAAACCCAACTGTGATACTTTTATTCTCATATTTTTTACATTTAATTTTTTTTTATAATAATTTGTATTACTGTTTCTTGTTATATTTGTATATGTGCACTGGTAGCCTCGGCACCAAAACAAATTCCTTGTTTGTGCAAGCACGCTTTGGCAATAAAGCTCTTTCTGATTCATAAAAATATGAAAGGGTGTGAATTTGTACATTTAATGTATTTGAAAGACAACAGCCTTCCAAAGAGAGTAAAGCATGGTTTAATGACTCACTGAGTGATCATTTAAATAATTTTTGCATTTGTCAGGAGCTGATTAGATATGCAATGTTGAGAAAACACTCTTTAGAGTAAAATGATGTTTTTAGAAAAGGAAATTTAATATATATAAAATAAATAAATTGCCATTATTGCCATTACTGCCATTGGGAGAATAACATGTAACCATATAATCAATAAAAAGTAACTAGTTTAAAGTACGAATACTTTAAAATGTAATCTAATCTAATCACAAAGACTTAATTTTTGGAATCTGATTAAACAATCAGGCTTACATGTAACCAGTTACTGCCCAGAATTGTGTGTGTTTGTGTAAATGTATAATGTATGAAGAAAAACAAAAGTCATTTATATTCCATCTTAACCAGTGAATGATTTATTACAAAACATCATCAGACAAACAGTTAACATTAAAAAATATTTATAAAAATTATATATATTTTTTTTACAAACATACCAATTACCAAGTCCTGACAATTCTGGAAAAAAAATGGAAGAAACCATCAGCACAGCAGGTTATATAGATGTTGGATTTTCAGTTTTGAAGCATGTACAGTAGATTGTGACTCCATCTCGTCTGAACATGTTTAAGAGTGGGTTTGACGTCCACAAGACAAACACTTCATCCACTAAAATCTGTGATTACAGGGGATAAAATGCAACAACTGGGTCTGCATAACATTACTGTAATTCAAAGGCTTGGTTATACTTGACCATTAAACACTGCACTCAGGTTGCCATGCCAAAGTGAACGGTGCATTTACTTAACATGCAACATGCAAACGTTTGGCTGACAGGCAGGTAAATACAGCCTATTCAAATTTACACCAATTTGTGTCACACAGAGTGTTTACCAAGTTACAGGGAGAGGTCACAATTAACAAACCTCAAAAATACAACAGAAATGTTTTCTTGGATCGGTCAAGCATGTGCCGTTTTTCCTGAAGGTCCAATACAAATGAAGTCCTGACTGACTGATAGCATCCAATTGACTGTTAAACCTTCTCATGCAGTTTCTATGCAATAAAAATACTGTCATATTAGACCCAAATAACAACATATTAAAGTTTAAAAAAAAAAGTTTTGGAAGAGAGTCATGCATATGAACAAAAACATCCAATCCGATGTGTGCAGTGTCTATTAACAATGACATCACACAGAACTTTTAAAACATAATGTAACTAAAGCCTCCACCCACTGACTCCAGTTCTGCAAACATTTGTAATTAAGTTACCTTCGCACAGTAGAAATCCATATATATATATATAAAATGTAAACATTTTTCCAAGTACAAAAACTTGTGAGCACTCGTGACAGGTCAAAAAACTCATGACGATGTGGTTCATTACTCAGTGATTATTTAAGTGCACAAGCAAATGAGTTCTGGCTAGAAGTGTGTGAAGTGTGTGACTGCATGCTTAACTTTTCCTTCAAATATTTCAGGTGTGTCTGTGAGCCCATTCAATTTAGCACCTGTGAAAATTTGAGATGTTTTAGGTAGGTAAACTGAACAAAGCTGAGTGAAAAAGAAAAGTACAGGAAGAACATTTAAAAAAAAAAATGCAAAAACGAATTTTGGGAACTCGGAATTTTGTGAAAATACACTAAAAGTTTTACCTTAATATTGAACCCAGAAAGGGATCTTGTTTGGTTAAATAATTTTAATTTACCATAATTTAATTAAACAGAGTATCTGGAAAGGAACTGAATTTAAAATATTCTAAATCTAAAATGGTAAAATAAAACAAGGTGTAAAACCGATCTATTTGGTTTGATGCATAAAATTCACATAGACAATTGTTTTTTGTTACCTTTCCCAACATGTAACTTCATTTCAAATTACTTGTGGGGTTCCCACAGTTGAAGCCCAAATAGTCGACACAAACCCACTGAGATGTGGAATAATACACAAAAAGGGCCACATGACAATTTCATTCGAACCTGCAGCTTTAAAAAAACAAAAAAACCCACAATGTCGGTGCAAATATGAAAAGCTCTTGGTGGATGAAATGGATTCGAAGCTTTTGCACATTTTCATAGAAAAAAAATCAAGTCATTCAAATCCCCTCCTCAACCCGTTCACAGAAGGTGAGAAAAATGTACTAGAAACCGTTACGTTTTTTTTTTTTTTTTGGCCAACAGCACATCTCCAGTACACAATAAATAAAAAAAGCATACATATTCCCTGCATAAGACTATCTTACTTCCATTACACACTAATAAAATACTCCACTTAGTAATTGTTTGAATTACAAACGTCTCACGCCGGGTGCGTCGTGAAGCCTGCGGGGATGATGACGTACTGAAACAGTCCGTTACTCATTTATCTCTCTTTCAATTTGCTTTTTTCTGGACTCTGACGCTTTTCTAGCTTTGCTGCATCTGCAGTGGTCTCGCCGGCTTCATGCGTAGTTGCCGAGGAGCGTTGGGTGTCTTTGGCAGCCTGAGGTTCAGCTTGACTTTGAGTGTGTGACACGTTTTCCTCAACCTCTTCCTCGTCTTCATCCGAACAAAGCCTCCAGTCGTCCGCTTCCTCGCTCTCTGATCCTTGTACGGCGATCTGAGGGACCAGCGGATTCCTCCTCGCCATGCACTCCTCCTCCGACTGCGTTTCGCCCATCATCTGCTTGGCTGACTGGGCGGGAATCTGGGCGGCCCTGTCGTCCGGTTCGTCAAAGCTCACTTCCTGCACGGCTTCCTGCTTCTTGAAGGAATCTCGGCGTTCGGAGAGATTCAGCTTGCGCATGACGACGATCTGCTCCATTCGGTCACCGGGCCAGTCCCTCATTCTCTGTCCGCAAAAGTACCCGCCCAGCCTGCCGTGATCCACCGAATATGTCGCACCACAGGCCACCTCTGCCTCGGTATCTCCCAGTACGTCCACCTCGCTGTGGGGGACTTCCAACGTGTGTCTGCGGGGCGCGTGGGGCTTTTTGTCAGCAAATAAGGCCCCTGAGAGCTTCTCCGCAGACTGGACCCTCTTCAGCAGAGGGGAACGTGGAGGTTCCGCACTCCGGGGTCTGACCACATGCCGAATGATCGTGGGGGGCGAGAGGGTTTTGCCGTGGAAGGAGTGGAGGGTTTTGGAGATGCTGGGTAAGGGTGAGGGGGAGCGCTGGGGGGACAGGGCTTGTGTCGAGGAGGTGCAGGCCAGAGGTGACGGTGGGATATTGCTGGTGGACTTCCGTCTCCCCACTTTAGTGTAGCGTTGGTTGCCGAGTTTAGAGCCAAGGCCGTGCAGCGAGCTGGGCCGCATCTGGACGGCTGGCGAACTGGGAGAGCTGGAGCATGGAGAGGCGTTCTGGGGCAGGCTGGCTTCTGAACAGATTGCAATGTTTTGCGACAATTTTAACAAAATAATTAATAAACGACATACTTAATATATTATAAAAATATACAATAAACAAACGTTTTTTGGGGGGTGTTTTCTGAGCTAGAAATAGTAGTGCTGGGTGTTGACACAAATTTCACAATTCGATTTTGATTCACAAGCTTGAAAATCGTTTCAATTCATTTAGGTATGGTACAAACAAAATTAAACGGTAGCCGTCATAACTATAATGAATATGTAATATACTACATATATTTTGCATATAATGCTACATATATTTTATATAATGCTTCTCTCTAAAGCAGGGCTGTGAAACGATTAATCGTGATTAATCGCATTCAAAATAAAAGTTTGTGTTTACATAATATATGTGTGTGTGGTGTATATAATTAATTTGTATATATAAATACACACACATTAATGTATATATTTAAGAAATATTTGCATGTATATACTTTATATATATATATATATATACATAATTAATATTATATATAAATACAAATATTTGATATATTAATTACACATTTTTCTTAAATATATACATGCATGTGTGGGTATTTATATCTACAAATTAATTATACACACCACACACACACACACATATATCATGTAAACACAAACTTTTATTTTGGATGTGATTAATCGCAATTAATCGGTGCCCATCCCTACTCTAAAGTTAATTTTTCTTTTCAGAGTTGCGTGACATTGTTTACACTTTTCGTTGACAGTTTTGACGTCTTTCCGAAACATTCATTGAGCAATTACATGAAACGTTTCAGCAAGTCGTACTGTATCTGTCGAGATATCTTCAGATGATCATTTATTTTTAATGTTGTGCTACAACTATTAGCAAAAAGAAAGAAATAATTGGTTCACATGTGCTTTGTGTTTCTGCTTCGCGTGATCTGAGGCTACAGCGATCGGTCACACCACATTAAAGAGCAACAATACTTATTCATGACATTTGTGATCAAGTATCAGTGTTCAAATTCTGTCCGTTTTATATATCAAAAGAAACAAAGCTTATTGCAATTTATTGGATGGAAGGTACGCTACAAACTATATTTCATGAAGTTGTGCTCATGCATGAACTGAAAAGATCATACAATAAAAGATCGATCTTGGGAATTAAGAATCGATATTAGTTCATCAAAATGAGAATCGACTAAAATTGAGAAATCAAGATTTTCAACCCAGTCCTTAAATATTTAAAATATTTCTTAATTTTAAAATATAACTGTTTAAAAAGAAATATTTTATTTTAAGAAAATATTTAAATATTCATACATTTTTATTACATATATTCTCCAACCTAAACTGATGAATTACTGGTTGACAAATAGTTTGATGTTTTCCATCTATAAGTCGGGTCATACCAGCGGTGTGGTCGGGAACGGGGCTCCGGCAGGGTGTTGTGGGTCCGGAGGAAAGGCTGTGGGTGGGAGAGCCTGGCAGACTCTCGCTGGAGGACACCGAGTGATGCAGGCCGGAGGAGAAACTACGGCTGCTGTGCATGACGGTGCTCTGTTTGGACAGCTTCTTCAACATGCTGCGCCTCCTGGGTGAACAAGAGAGATCATTCAGGGTGACGGCAAACATCGATGAATGATAAACTCTTGCAAGCGGCATCAAACTGAAATGTCCTTTTTAATATTCGTGATAGATGAATACATCAGCCAGTAACCATTTCAATAGATAAAACATTTTTTGTTGAGTGAACATTGTGTAAAATAAGTGTCAATAGAATTTCAACAATTAGATGTGCATCTAATTTGAGGGAGTATAGCTTGCAATGAGTATTGGGATCAGCCATTTAAAAATCAACCACTAATGATGTAAAATAATACGAGAGCTTTAAAACAAGAGTTTTCCTGACCGGTCCTGATTGTCCCTCCATTTGCTCCTCTTACTGCGGCGGGCCATCTTTCCTTTACAGCTGCTCTTGCGGGCCGGCCCAATCTTTATAGACGTGTCCTCTAGCGCAATAGTCTGCAGGGACACCTGGTTACCGCTCTGTATATTAAAAAGACCAAATGAAAGTAGATGAAACTATGACAGATTACCCAAGATAAATATATTACACAATAGATCTATTAATCTCCCCTAACTAGTCTAATACAATTATGGTAAAAATATATTACTAGTAATAATGCAATTTGAACTATTAAGAACAATTAAAGGCATCTGCATCTATATTTTACAGGTCCAAATAGAATTACAGAAAGTAAAATACAATGTTAGATTTTCTTTCACCCTACCAAAAATTACACTGTCAATACCTTCCATATGAATTATTACTAGTCATAAATGACATTCAATAATGTCTAGTCAAAACTACTATTTTAGATATTTGTAAGGCAATTTTGACTAGTGAATATTCAAACATGTCTTTTTTCCAATTCCATATAAAGTGTGTTATCTATAACTCAATTTGAGCTAGTAACATGAAATTATTACTAGTATAAATGTTTGGCTAGTCAATAAAATTGCTGATATCTTTAATCATTCTTCTCAACAGTTTAAACTGCATTATGATTTGTGTCGAAATGCATTTCAACTAGTAACGCTATGAGGATTTAATATATATCATTAACTGCATTTAATTCAATTTAAAAAAAAAACAAAACATTGGCATATACTATCATATTGTATTATCATATATCATGTTGCCACAATTTAATAAAACTAAAAAGCCACTTGAGGCTTTGAATTAAGTGATTTCACTATGGTTAAACGTGTTTTAGGCATACAAACATGGTTAAAAGAAATAAAAATAAATTCACTATTAAGAGCAGGTTCAAGTAAGGGTTTCAAAATGTTTGTTTTTTTTTTTGTTTTTTTTGTGAAATTCCTCAACTGACATTTTGTTTTTGGTTTAGGTCAGAATATTAAACAATGGTTCAGCGAATTTCCCAGCATGCTGCGGTTTAAATACCTTCAAGAGAAGTTCCATCATCTCTGTGTGCAGTAGACCCTGCACAGACTCTCCATTCACATGAGTGATCAGATCACCTGCTCGCAGTCCAGACTCATGGGCAGGGCTGCTCTCCTCCACACCCTGACAGAGGAAAACAACACAAGGAATCACAATAAACAGGCTGAACCGTAATTCTTTAAAACTCAATGTCTGAGGCTGTTTACACCTGGTATTAAGATGCGTTTTGGTTGATTGGATCACAAGTGGATGATGCTAAATACAGGTGTAAACGGGGTCTAAAACGTTTTGAGCTTGTCCACTTCCAGTGGTGGTTGAAAACACGTTCGCCTGGGTTGATTTTGTAGTGTAATGCCAGGTGTAAACCGAGTGTGTTTCGATCAGTGGCTTTAGAAGTGATTCTCTGCTCACCGAGACCATGTGGTTTATGGTGTAGATGTCACTGGTCCCCATGTAAACACGAATGGTCTGCAGAGTGAAGCCGTATTTCTTCCCAGAGCTGTGGATGATGATAGGGGGGCGGAGCCTGCTGACACTGAGTGACAGGTCTCGATTGGGGGAGGAGTCTCGGGATGATGGATTAGAGGAAAACGATCGAGGGGAAATGGAGCGCGCCTGCAGGCCGCCACTCCCATCATCTGGGGGAAAAGGAAGAAAAAGATCACTTATTTTTCCTCACAAAAATGTAGTTGAATATTTTTGAAACAAAATCATGACATTAACATAAAATCTACAAATATGAAGAGAACCACCATATATTTTTTTAGAGCTGCTATGGTAACCATGTTCGGGGTCTGACCTGGCGTGATGATGAGCGAGAGGGTCGACACTGATGCAGACTTGGGGACCTTGCGTCCTGGTGAATATCGCTGTCTGTCAGGCGTCTCCAGCTGGTTTCCAAAGCACTGAGGAGTACCTTGTTCCCTTGGCGACGAGTGTTTCGTTCCTGTGCTGTTGCTACGAAGTCGGAGTCGTCGCAAGCTGGATACAACAACTTCAGCTGCAGAATTAAAAGGTTTGCATCAAAATAAAACTACACCCAGTGAACATTATTATAATTTACAAGGACTTGAATTTGATTGCTAGGGGACACATTTACTACAGTATATAATCCTGTACTGAGGTTTTCTTTGATGGTTCCTTTTTGACGTTTTATAGAAAGACAAAAAGAGAAAAGGAAATGAGGGGACAACAGGATTGGAACATGACAGATCGAACCCTTATTTCCCATCTTTATGTGGCTGGAACGTCTCCACTACTAGGTCACCACTGTGTTTTGAATATTGTAAAGGGCAATAAATTGGTAAGCAAAAAATTGCCACGTTTTAGATTTTTTTGTCAACTTACCCTCATCATCGGTGGACAGGGCGAATCGTGGCATGGCCTCTAGGCTGTGTGTGCTGCTCACCACTAGGGGGCTCACAGCACGCTCGGGCTGAGAGGAGCTGGATGAAGTTCGAGGGCGCAGGCTGGGAAAAAACAAAACAAAAAACAAACACTCGTTCAAAATGCTGGTAAATAACATCTACTGTGATTGAGCCTCAAAGAAAACATGCATAAGGAATAATGTACACACAGCTGGTTGTTACCAGAAAGAAAACCGCAACAATATCAGGGTCCTATTTATAGGCTACTTGCCAGAAAAAAAAAAAAAAAAGTATTACACAAAATATTTGAGTTGCATTCCTACAAGCAGATTTGAGCCTAGGCTGGTCTTCTGTGTACGATTTTCTGGGAAAGTCGGAAAAGTCTCATGAATGCACAGTGGTTCACAGAAGACCAAAGGCCAAGGTCAGGATTTTTGAAAAATAATACATTCAATTAGGTTTTTCGTTTTTTTTTTTTTTTTAAATCAAACCCTACCATACACCACCTGAAAACTGATGCATGGATCATTATGTGATACACTGCAATTGTATGGATGAGCAACAGCTCTAAAATCATACCCGTTTATTCTTATAATCCATTCGAGTGTACCAAACAATTGTTTTGGCAACAAGATGAACACTTCAAAAATATGCCAACTTATGCCAATTACTAATACTGAAATCCTAATTTAAAATAAAAAACTGGCTCAAGATGGCAGCAGCTACATTTGAATAACATAACATAAGAGTGTGTCTACGAGGGAAATTAAAGAAGCGCTGTCTTCACATACCCAGATGAGAGATCATTTTATAGCATTACGGGGGAATAACTGACCTTGGAACGTCCCAAATGATCAGAATCAAGCATTTCAGAGAACCATGCAATAAGTAGAATAATATTCAAATCGGAACGTAATACTATTGGGTATAGTTTTTATTTTTCTAATTAATGTCTATTTTCATTATAACTTTTCTGTATTGTATAATATGTTCCATTGGTTTGTAATGGCAATTTTTATTTTGAGGTGAATGCATTTCTTGCTTCCTCGATTCGCACCTTGCCCTCTGAGCCGAGAGCCTCCTGTCTCCGGTGGAGGCCTGCCGTCGGATCTCTCCAGGGGAGTGGGCGTCTGCCCGGTCCTCTATCTCCTCACTGTGACTGCGGTCGGAGGAGAAGCTCAGGGATGGGGTGGCCAGGTACTCTGTGCTGCTGTACACCTACACAATTGTGGATAAGAAATGTCAGAGAGAAAGAGAGAAAAATGGCCACATAACAGTCAAATGTTCCCCGTGTTTAGCTGGGCAATACAACACTGGTCTTGTTAATAATGAATTTATTCATCAAATAAATATAATCTTACACAATACTTTATCTCTGTGTCTGATTCAAAGAGGGCAGAATGCTTCCGAGTAAATATTACGCATTGTGCATTCAAATCATTTTATGATATTACAATAGCTATTTACAATAGCACTATGCTATAGTATGGTTTTTAAATGGTTTTAATACATCGTGCAGCCTTAGAAAGCGGCCTAATAATGCGCTTCATGGACCTACTTCTGTTATTTTGCCAGTTACTCGACACGGGTAAATTGCAATCCAGGATTTTTTTCAAATTGAGTAATCAAATTTTATTGAAGAATCGTGACAGCCCCAGTAAAACACGCGATACTGATACGAGTCTTCATCTCGTGTGCGTATTTCAAACATTTGCCTGACTACTCTATTTATACGCAGCTTTTATTTATTAAACACGATAAAATGTGTGATTTATGGCAGCCTGTTCCTGCCTCAAAAAAAAAAAAAAAAGAATACATAAAATATGGATAATTAAAGTAAAAAATAAATAAAAAGTTAGTGAAAGAATGTGGCAATTACAAGAAACAAACAATATGATTATGATTGTTCAGTAACACACATGTAATAAAAAAAGCTTTCAACATCAAAATGCACAGACAGAAAAAGGACCCAACCTTGCTGAAACGATTTGACCAGGAAGAAAACCCTCGTGTTTCTAGGGATGACTCCTCATCGTTGGTTTCATCATCCTCATCGGAGGCCAAATGATGGTAGCGTTCAGATCGTGCTACAGAGGAAAGAAAACCAAAGGATTTAGGGGGTATAAGTCAAGTACAATGAGGAAATAATAACTGCACCTCATTGAATAAGGCACAAGAATGCACTGATATTTCCAGAGCACTTTGCTCCAGGCATTTATTGAGCTCGCAGAATCTCTTTCCTGTGTTGAATAAATGGGACTCACTGTCAAAATAACTAGTGTCGTCTTCGGCCTCCAGCTGAGGGATGAATTCAGCTTTCTGACGCAGGAGTCCGTTCCAGTCCAGACCACTGAAGAACAAATGCTGCTTTACTTCTGGAGCCCCACCTACAAACACACGGGAAGTCATACTTGTCCAAATGTATACATAAAATAGTTGTATAAATGAGGTTTGAAGGATATCAAACTCTAAAGAATTTGTTTTGAACTTAAATAGGTCATATCATTTTTTTTGTCATTTCATTCTACTCGAAGTAATGTTCGTTTTTTCATATTATCATATTTTTATAGCAATATAGTAGTTTTGTGTGACCAGTTTAGTCTCTGAATTAAAACCTTTATCATCTACTAACTTTTATATTGTACTATATTAAAATCCTAAACATGCAATTATTTTAATATTTTTTTGAATGTGTAATTATCTTAAAAAGTACTTAATCTTTTTTAAATGTAATTACATATGTAATAAATAAGATGAATTAATAAGAAAAAAAAAAAATAGATCAAGAATCAGTTTGGAATGGGAGCGCGAGTGCCTAAAAATTCCCACTACTACTATACAATGATTTATTGCTTGTCTGTTGAATAATACAAAAGATAAGCAAAAATAACTTTAAAGGTCTTCTGACATGGAATTATTTTATAATGTTAGTATGTTTTTAGATCAAAAATAGTCATAATTTGGAAATAAAAGGCATTTTTCCTTGCCTGATTTTAGTCTCTGATTTGAACGCTCTGTTTGAAGGGGCGTGTCTGCTGTGGGATTCAGTGTTCCGCCCACTGCTGTGATTGGCTGACATGCTTGCATATTTATTTATTTCAGGTTTATTTAACAGGGACAATGCACACTAATGATACATGATTAAATGTACAGTGTGCCAGAATTAGCCAGTAGGCTATTTTACATCTGCTGTCCCTGGACAGATCTTGATGTCACACCTAAAACAAAAAAAACAACAACAAAAAAAACATAAAAACAATATATCTAGGACAATAACTAATGTCAAAGGTTTCCCCTATCTAAACACAAGAGAAAACAATGAGCCAGCCAACCGTATTGGCATAGCACAGGAGACACAGACAAGCAAACAGACTAATAAAAATAAAGATTAACAACAAAAGACAAAAAAAATAAATAAAAAGGCAGGACAAGAAACAGTGCAGCAGCAAAATTTCATGTCAAGTGTAATGTAAACAGTCCTGACTATCTATTAACCATTTCTTTAAGTTATGTTTAAAAGAAACGTAAGATTTAAAATTCCTAATGTGAATTGGAATGAGATTCCATTCACGAGCTGCCCTTATTGAAAAAGCTGTTTGACCAAGTGCACTCTTCCTAAACGGGACAATGCAGTCACCTCTTGCTGCACTCCTTGTAGATCTGAGAGCATTTGGTGCTGCTGTGCTCACAAACTGGCACAATACAGGAGGAGCCAGTCCATGCAAAATTTTATACACAAGACAGAGATCTGCGTATATAATCAAGTTTTCGAAATTCAATAGATTATATTTTTTTAAAACATGACAATGATGATAATATATCGATTTCTTATCGAGTACTTTGAGAGTTTTCTTATATAGGGATAACAGTGGTTTGAGAGAAGTGTTGCTAGCTTGTGACCAGGTTGTCAAACAATAGGTGATATGAGATAAAATCATGGAGTGCATGAACATCATGGCAGCCCTTTTTGACATGCAGCTACGGACATATCTAAAATTTGCCAGCTTATACTTAATGTGATTACAAACCTTCTTAATGTGTGATTTAAATGTAAGATTGTTATCTATGTAAACTCCAAGGTATTTAAACTCTGAGACAACTTGTATTCTCTCTCCTGCTACGACTATATCAGGTTCTACACAGCGGCTTTTAGATTTACTTAAAAACATACAGTTTTGGATATATTCAGTTGAAGACAATTTTGATTTAACCATTCTGTGATCTTTTGCATTGATTTGGATAGAAGATCAGCAGCTTGAGCAGCACTGTTAGCATGTACAAAGACTACTGTGTCATCTGCATACATTTGGGTATTGACCTCAGGGCAAACATTTGGCAAGTCATTTACATACAACGAAAATAAAAGTGGACCCAGAATAGAGCCCTGTGGGACACCAGTAGGTAAGGAAATTATACTTGATTGATGATTCCTAACTCTAACAAATTGAGTTCGTTGTGTTAAATAAGATTCCACCCATTTAATAGTGCCTGTATCAAAATTAAAAGTTTTTAACTTAGATAAAAGAACTCCATGATTAATGGTGTCAAATGCTTTTTTTAAATCTAAGAAAACAACACCAACAACCCCTCCTCGATCCAACTGTGCTTTGACTTTTTCAACGAAATTGCAATTGGCTGTTTCTGTTGAGTGATTAGTACGGAAGCCAAATTGATATGGATGTAGAGAGTAGGAATTGGTATTTAAATAATTTATCATTTGTTCTGAGACAAGTTTTTCAGCCACCTTCGAAACCACCGGCAGGATACTAATTGGTCTATAGTTGCAGACGGACAAACGATCACCTCCTTTGAACACAGGGAAAACTGCAGCCAACTTCCACACATTTGGGAACGATCCCTGAGCAATTGAAAGGTTAACAATTTTCGTAATTGGGTATACCAATAATTCAGAGAGCTCTTTCAACATAACAGTGTTCATTCCAATGACATCTTTCGCTCGAGATGGCCTAAGAGATCTAATCACTCTCACTACATCTGCCTCAGTGATATATTCTATGTTGAAAGCTTGCTCTGTTTGTTCTACTTGACCCAGAGTATTTTTATATTCAGAAGAAAAACACTTGCTGATATTTTCTACTGAATCAATGAAATAATTATTGAGAGCATCAGCTACTTCAGCTGGCTTATCTCTTAATTTTCCACCAACTAAAACATGTTCAACTGTTTTGGCATTGTTACCATTATGTCCCATTAATTTTCTTAATTGGCTCCAAATAGTTTTAGTATTACCTCCTGCTTTTTCAATTATGGTCAAGAAGAAATTTGCTTTAGCTATCCTTATCTCTTTGACTACTCTATTCCGTAGCATAGTAAAAATATGTCGATCACTGGTTGCTTTAGATTTGATTGCAGATTTTAAAGCCATATCGCGTTTTTTCATTAAATTTAAAATATTTGTGGTTATCCAAGGAATGGTGTTCTTTTTTTTCCTATGCCGTTGTCTGCATGTAAATGCATCAATTGATCTCTGCAGTTGTTGTGTAAATCTTTGACTATCTTCTTCCATTGATCTTCCCATAAGTATGTTATCCCAGCTAATGCTCTGGATGGCACTTATAAACTGGCCCTGCATATTTTTGGGGATATTTGAAGATTCTTGTTCTTGGACAAATGGAGTGAAACGCTTGTTAGTTAGCTTCCTGGCTATTAAGATCATATTGTGGTCTGATAGTCCGGTCAGCATATTAAAGGATTTAACAATTCGCTTCGGTTGATTGCTAAATATTAGGTCTATTTGTGTTCTTGTAGAAGATGTTACTCTGGTTGGCCCATTTATCAACTGTGTAAGATCACAGTCGTCAGTGATCTGTTTTAATGTTTTCCTTACCGATTTGTCTTCCCAATTGATGTTAAAGTCTCCCATAATAATCACCTCCTTATTAAAATTGCATTCCTTTAACATACTTTCGAGATGTTCGTAAAATATATTCTTAGAGGATGGAGGGCGATATAGTGTAATAAGTGAGAAAGACATTGATGAAGATAAAGTTATGTTAAGTCCAATACACTCTAGTTCATTACATGACCACTGTATCTCCTGGCATTGAAAGCGATCTTTTACATAGATTAAAACTCCTCCTCCTTTTGAGCCCACTCTATCTTTTCTATGCACCTTATAACCAGGAACAAATAAAGCTGATGAGGGTGAATTTTCATTAAGCCAGGTCTCTGTTAAACACAAGAAATCCAGATTCGAGTCTAATAAAAGCTGATGGATTTGATCACTTTTAGATTTAAAACTTCTGATATTTAAGTGCCCTACTAAAATACCACTCGGTTTTAATTTGGAGTCCCAGATAATTCTTGAGTGATTGACAGTCTGGAATATATTCAGTTTCTTATTTTTAGCTATTGCAACATTTAACATTTTTGAGCGTGCACTACATGTTGTTTGATTGGGTGTAATTGTTGTATGTCCTACGGCCTTCTTATTTACAGTACACGTCGTCTGATCGTGGGTTAATAGTTCCTCTGTAGGTGCGGAAGGATTTGTTGATAGTACCGCTTTATCCGCTGCAATCGGCGTCGAACAGTTCGATGTGTCACCTGGTGATCCAGTGATGCAACCGCTAAACAGGGTCTTCGCTAGAATCCCGTCTGCGGTTACACATCGCCGGTCCCGGTCCGCCGTTGCGAAGGCCTCTGCCGTCATGCAGGCGGCCGGCGAATCAACCGGCGCTCCCATGAGACAGGCCGCAGGAACCCGAACAGGCAACCCACATCCAGCGGCACCCACAGAGGAGAGACGGCGATCATGGTTAGTTTGTTGAATCTGTTCAAGCGGTGAGTTGTTACGTAAAAGAGTGCGTACCTGTGAAACAGATGTATTGCGTTTGATATCGGCAGTGTTTGCCTTCCCTCGCGGGCCAGGACACGGATGAATATCTCCAGATAGTAGTAAGCAGATTGTGATTAGCAAAGCATTGCTTTGTGGAATTTTGGTTGAAGCCTTGTGTTTCTTTGTTGAATGATACAGTTGTTTTGAATACATGAACGTTACTGCCAGTGCATGTTTCCCATAACCAAAGTTTGTTGTGGTTTGGGTTGTTTGTTTAATATCTGTTGATATGTTAATATCAGGGGGCTTTAAAACATTTAAAATCAATCCAAAGAATAAAAGCGCTACTGCTGCACCTGTCCTGCCTGGCACACTCGCCGCCATCTTCAATAGCTATGCATTACATGGGAAACTCTCTTGAATACTTTTACTACAGCTATTATACGTTTTTACTATTATCGAGATTAACGAATCGTGAGAAGTTTTTAAAGAATTTAGATCTACTCCCATCACATAAAATGTTATGATGAGCATTGAGCAGCAGAGTACAGTCTGTTGATCGTGAGAATGAAGATCTTATCATTGCAACACAGTTTCTGCACTCTTTCTAATGCTTTCACCAATGCAAACACGATGATGTACATACAGTAAGAGCTTCGTTGTGCAGTGCATTGATTTAATAACGAGATGTCCAGATAAACTTTGATTGATCTTTGATCGCTTTCTGAATATAATTTGTTCACAATTTAAATAAGAATATTTTCATCCTACTAAAATAAACGATGTGAAATTGATATTTTAGTCACTGGTTTGACTTACTGATGCATAAACAGTATTGAACGATTTTAAGAGAAAGATTACCTGTTTGAACTTGAACATTTAGGCTACACATCAGAAATTGTTGCTTTGTAGCTCGATCGTTTTATTTTCAGACGTTCAGAGGCCAGCTCTGAAATGGCCCAAGTTGAGGAAACAGTGGTTGGTGAAATGTTTGTACCATAAAAAAACTTTGTGTCGGAAGTTGTGTCGGTGCATTTCCAGAGAAAATAAATGTTTCCCATTGTTTCTTCAGAGGCTCGGATGAAGGAACTAAAAAATTACTTTTGTGTTCATTTGTACATCCGAACACTTGATAAACTTGCCATGCTTCGCTCGTAATGCAAGCCATGATATCTTCCCAGGAAAAACTCAAGTTCGTACTTACTAGCTCATTTTCTAATACAGAGGAGATTCAAGATCAGCCTGAGCTTTCATTTTCTCAAAGGCAGATTTCTAGCCACTGGGGACCATATACAGGCTAGGGGAACTCATATTAATGTTAAAAACCCTCAAAAGTGAAAATTTCATGTCAGAGGACCTTTAATGTTAGGTCTGATTAATTGCGATTAATTTCAGAAAAAATGTGTGATTAGTTTTTTTTTTGACAGCACTAATCATTTATAAAAAATATATATTTATACACATTTAAAATAATATATATATATATATATTATATACATTTAAAATAATGCATATAGATACATATATAAATAAAAATAAAAAATAAAATAAAAAAAAATAAAAAACAGCTTAATTTCATTGTTATATTGACTAAAATTTTTGTGCAAAAATACAACCGTTCTCAAGCTACCATGTGGCAAAAAACGTTTGTAAAGGATGTAGATGCAGGCAATTTGTATGACCCCAGACATCCCATACAAATCGTATGACTTTCTTTCTTTAGTGTAAGATAAAAGATATTTTGAAGAATGTTGGTAACCAAACAGTTTTGATGACCACTGACTTGGCGAAAAAAAAGAAAAAAAAAAACCTTTCAGAGACATTTCTCAGAATATCTTCCTCCACAGATTAAATATGTCAAATGCCTGGTTTGGAACAACACAAGGATTTTGTGCAAACTATATATAGCTACAATTCGTAACAACAATTGATGCAGACAAAGCACCTGTTCCAAGTCTCTCCAGCGGGCTTTGGTTCAGTAATCGTGTGATCAAGTCCTGGGCGTCTACAGGAAGAGTATCATCCCCATCTGGCCAGATAATCTCATCTGCGTAAGGAACAGCATGTATTTTAAAGCAGTTGGTAAAGCTTCCTGTTTCTTTTAACAATATCTGTGTCTCACCAGCTGTTTAAAACACACTCTCAAATGCACTCACCGCTAACAACCTGCCCAAAAAGCTCTTCTGGTGTGTCCCCAAAGAACGGAACACATCCCACCAGAAATTCATACAGGATGATGCCCATGGCCCACCAGTCAACGGGTTTCCCATAGCCCTGCCGCAGGATCACTTCTGGAGCAATGTACTCTGGAGTGCCACAAACCTACAACATAGTGACTATATCAGTAACAGTTCTTGAAAATGTACATAAATTGTATCCAAGGAGTATTGTCCTCTTGCCCACCTGCTTGTCGATAAACTCCCTGGTGTCTTTCTCAATGTGGCCCTCATAGAGATTGGTTGTCATGTTCATCAGGCCGATTTTGGAGAGCCCGAAGTCAGTGAGTTTGATATGCCCCATTGAAGTAATCAAGAGGCTGTGATGGGTTAACAGAACAGTTTAATAAGCTACATTACCATACAGTTGCTTTAGAGGTTTTTAGGTCTGTCTTTCCTCACTTGTCTGGTTTGAGATCTCGGTGCACAATGCCGTAACTGTGGAGGTACTCCAGTGCCAAAACTGTCTCCGCAAAGTACATCCTGGTCATGTCCACAGGAAGTGGGCCCATGTTCTTTAGCACATTGGCACAATCACCACCTGAAGATCATATTAGCCCAGACATTTATTTATACATGTGTATGAGATGTACATGCATTAATAATAATAATAATAATAATAATAAATATAGCTGCGAGCAGCGATGACGGGCCCAAGCCGGTGGCACCGAAACCCTGGTTCCTTTAGTAATCAAAGTCGCCGGCTTTGACCCTTTCATCGCTGCTCGCAGTCACCGTGTCGGTGTGGATATTGGCATTCAGAATCACAGATTATTCTTTTTGGAAGTATGACCAACATTATAATTTTCACCAGGAAATGTCATCTGAACTAGTAAGAAACATCCACCTTAGTTCTGGTTCTGACATTGCAGTAAATCACGCTGATTAAATCTAACAATCGCTTAAGTTATCATGTCACGCAAACCCGTGCAAATTATACTTAGTTCTCAAATGGTTAATGTTAACAACGTCAGCATTAGGTGGCTACATGTATTGTTTTTCCAATATGTATCCTTGTTTTTGCATGGGTCCTGCCTCTTTTTTTATTTTCTCTTTGCTATTTGATGTTGGGCAACGTTGTGCTGGTCACGCCAGCTAGTAAAAATGGTCCAATATGAATACGTGTATAATTACACCCCTAATACACACACAAACTAGAAGTAGATCAAAAAAGTTTATCAAAGCTGTCCAAAGACAAGAACAGATATTGCTTCAAGTTCATGTACAGTTAACTTTGATGAACTTCAAATGCTGATTACTGTATATATAAAATCAAATATATTCATACTATATAAATAGATTAAAGAATATGCGCGCATGAATTTAACAAAAAATAATGATGTGCACATAAATCATTTACAATAAACACTGACAAAAAAATCCCAAAAAACCCACAAAAACAGGAATTGTCCATCTTGATTTTTATGGTGATTTTAAACCGGTCTAATTTCTGACTGACTATTTAATGTCAATTTGTACTTAAAAAAAAAACTCTATTGTGAACATGCATGTTTGAGTTTACCTTCCACATACTCCATGACCATGCACAGATGTCTGCGGGTCTCAAAGGAGCAGAACATGCTGACCACGAAAGGGTTCTCTGCAAATGTCAGGATGTCTCGCTCCACAAACACCTGCTGGATCTGGTTTCGCAGAATCAGGTTTTGTCGGTTGATCTTTTTCATTGCAAATCGTTGACGGGTTTCTTTATGTCTTACCAGATACACAGCCCTGCAGGATAGATGGAGAACATAAGATACAACACAGACCTTCATATAAATACAAACATCAAAATAGAAATAAATAACAAATATATTAAAAGTATCTATCTATCTATTTATCTATCTATCTAATCTATCTATAATTTTTTTCTTCAAGGCTTGCACCTTGGAACCTATTTCAAGGTTTGCCTTTTTTAAGCCACTGTTGTTGTGCAGATGAGCAGGTTGGAGAGCATTAAGGGTTTTCTGTTAGAACGGTGTCGTGTAACTGGCCCCTGAGTTACTAACTAATGATCTTTGCAATGGAAGAGAATCAATCAAAAATAAAATTTAGCTGGACAATAACTTTATTCTAGAGCCGCTGTAAAGCCAAAACAATCTCTGATACATTCACTTACTATTATCACTCTAAAGCTGCTTTGAAACAATCTATATTGTTAAAAGCACTACATAAATGAAGGTGACTTGACTAATGCGCTTGTTAATGGCAGATTATTTATTAAAAAAATACCGGAACGCAAAATATCCAAATAGCTGACATTTATCTGGATCCAGCTCAAATTAAACACTGATTCTGCTTCAAATCACGGTTTGCCAGCTGGCATTGTCCTAATGCGGTCTCTAAAGCAATCACTTTTTTTTTTACCTATAGTCATGATGTGATTTGCTTACCCATAAGCCCCATTACTGATGAGTTTTAAGGTCTCAAAATCACTCTCCAACGGTTTTCTTCGTAGCGGTGTGGGTAAAGATTTATTCTGCTGTAAGCAACAGGAAGAGATTATTGTTAGTGACGTCTTATGAAACCTAGAAAGGCCGTTTAATGCTCCTTATCTTTTTGTTGTGCTTTTACCTCTGCCGTTTCTTCAGAATCAACTGTGAGTGTGTGTCCTAAGTCGTACTGCTCCTCTAACTGCACAACTTCTGTCAAAACAGATGAAAGACACAACATAATGAGCCTAAAGAAAAACTGTCAGGCTCTCCAAACAAAACCATCATGAGATAAACGACAGCTATCGCACCATCAAGAGGATCTCGGTTGAGCCCAAGTTGGTTGATAATATATCTGGGAATATCGGTTTTGATGCCCTGGCCGACTTTGGCGTGACCTTCTGCAGCCTCTAGTAAATGGTAGAACTCCTCGGGGTCAAACTCCTACACAGTGAAAAAAAGGAGCACAGTTTCAGGAGTGTTAGGTCGTGAGGAACATTCACAGGAGAGCTGTGAATCAGTGTAGGTGCAGAATCTCACCAGACACTCCAGCAATCGCGCAGGACGTGAGATGATGATGAGGATCTTCTTCACCAGCTGTGTGATCACTGAAACCTCCTCACTCTCGGAGCGCTCCAGAGCCTAAGACAAACACATACACACACAATATATTAAATTGGCATTGCATGATTTGTCGATCTACTAAAATCGTACCATGTTTGTGGTAAAGTTCTATGTGAGAGATATTACAGTCGTGCTCAGAATTAATGGTAAATATGATGAAAACTGGCTGTAAAAAATAATTCTGCATTGTTTATCCTTTTGATCTTCCATTCAAAAAAATTGGCAAAATTCTAACCTTTCATTGAAGCCAAAGAATTGAAAGTGGGGGTAAATCACACTATGAAATAAATGTTTTTCTCCAAAACACTCTGGCCATAATTGTTGGCACCCTGTTATTAAAAACTTTTTGCAACCTCAGGTCTGTAAACTTTATGTAATGATCTGTAAAGCAAAGATAACAGATGGCAGAAGGTTCATTTTGTGCTCCGTAACTAATTTTTGTGTTGATTTTTGTTTTGGATCGTTGTCCTGATGGAAGATCCAACCACGGCCCATTATAAGATTTCTAGCAGAAGGCGTCAGGTTATGTTTTATCTTTTTGTTTTTGATAGAATCCATAATACCATGTATCTGAACAAGATGTCCAGGACCTCCAGCAAATAAATAGGCCCAAAACATGCAAGATCCAGCAGTATATTTAACCGTAGGCATGGGGTACTCTTCATCCCTGTTTGCACCAAACACATCTGCTGGGTTTGCTGCCAAAAAGCCCCTTTTTTAGTTTCATCTGACCACAGAACCCTGTGCCGTTTGAAGATCCAGTCGTGTCTGACACCTGAATATGCTGGAGTTTGTTTTTGGATGGGTGAGGGGCATTTTTCTTGAAACCCACTCAAACAACATGTGGGGATGTAGGGGTTGTTTGATATATTTTTTTTTTAGGTTTTCTGACCCCAAGACTCAACTAATCTCTGCAATTCTCCATCTGTGATCCTTGAAGAGTCTTTGGACACTCAAACTTTCATCCTCACCGTCCATTAAGGCAAAACAGACACACGTCCTCTTCCTGGCAGAATCATAACATCTTTAGTTGATTATAACTTCTTAATTATTGTCCTGATGGTCAAAATGGGGATTTTCAATTCTTTAGCTATTTTCTTACATCCACTTTCTATTTTGTGAAGCTCAACAATCATTTGATGCACATCAGAACCATGTTCTTTGGTTTTATTCATTGTGATGGATGATTCAGGGAATTTGACCTTTGTGCTTCCTCATATTTAAACTCCTTGAAACAAGAAGTCATAGCTGGACAATTTCATGTCCACCCTGTTCCTAGTCACCCTGATGTGCTTAAAAAATTAAATATTAAAGGGAATGTACTTCAGAGATATTTTTCTCATGAAAAATTCTAGGGGTGCCAACAATTATGGCCAGAGTGTTTGAGAAAAAACATTTATTTCATAGTGTGATTTACCCCCACTTTCAATTCTTTTGCTTCAATGAAAGGTTAGAATTTTTTCCCAATTTTTTGAATGGAAGATCAAAAGGATAAACAATGCAGAATTATTTTTTACAGCCAGTTTTCATCATATTTACCAGGGGTCCCATTAATTCTGAGCACGACTGTATGTGATGCACCGAAATTTAAGCCAACCAAAAATATTTGGCAGAAAAAAAAAAACATTTTGCCCGAAAAAGTTGATTGAAACCTCACAAAATAAAATTGTTACACAAACAATGAAACTTAAGTTTTATTTTTTTTTTACGTTTTTTTTGTGTGAAAAAAAGTGTTATCAACTTTTTACTGATACTGTTTTCTACTCCAATTCCTTGTTGAAATATAAATACAATGTGGCCAAAAAGTATTTAGTCAGCCACTGCTTGTGAAAGTTCTCCTACTTAGAATGATGAGAGAGGTCTGTAATTTTCAAAGGTACACTTCAACTATGAGAGACAAAAAAAAAAAAAAAACAAAAAACAAAAAAAGGGCGGTGTGTTTGGGATCATTGTCATGCTGGAAGATCCAGCCACGGTTCATCTTCAAGGCTCTCACTGATTGAAGGAGGTTTTGGCTTAAAATCTCACGATAGATGGCCCTGTTCATTCTTCCCTCAACACGGATCAGTTTTCCTGTTCCCTTTGCAAAAAAACAGCCCTAAAGCATGATGTTTCCTCCCCCATGTTTCACAGTAGGCATGTTGTTCTTGGGATGCAACTCTGCATTCTTCTTCCTTGAAACACAACGAGTTGAGTTTTTACCAAAAAGTTCTATTTTGGTTTCATCTGACCACGTGATATTCTCCCAATCCTCTTCTGGATTGTCCATTTGCTCTCTGGCAAACTTCAGACGGGCCTGGACATGAACTGGCTTAAGCAGGGGGGACACGCCTGGCACTGCAGTATTCGAGTCCCTCTTGGTGTAGCGTGTTACTTATGGTAGCCTTTGTTACTTTGATCCCATCTCTCTGCAGGTCATTCATCAAGTCCCTCCGTGTAGTTCTGGGATTTTTGCTCACTGTTCTCATGATCATTTTGACCCCACAGGATGATATCTTGCATGGAGCCCCAGATCGAGGGAGATCATCAGTGGTCTTGTACGTCTTCCATTTTCTTACAATTGCTCCCACAGTTGATTTTTTACACACCAAGCTGCTTGCCTATTGTAGATTCACTCTTCCCAGCCTGGTGCAGGTCTACAATTTTCTTCCTGGTGTCCTTCGACAGCTCTTAGGTCTTGGCCATGGTTGAGTTTGGAGTGTGACTGTTTGAGGCTTTGGACAGGTGTCTTTTATACAGATAACGGGTTCAAACACATGCCAATTATAAGGAGGACAGAAGAGCTTCTTAAAGAAGAAGTTATAGGTCTGTGGGAGCCAGAAATCTTTCAAATACATAACATTAGACTAACGTTAGCCAGCTTATAGTATCTCAGCAGAAAAATATTCTTTATATTAATCGTCCAATTAGTCATTAGATTAATCGACTAATCGATAAAATAATCGCCCAACTAATCGTTTAGTTAATAATCGTTTACCCCAGCCCTACGTACTATAGTGCATATATTAATGATGCTCTCTATCTTACTATAAATCTATGGCCATTGAACAGCTTTCCTGAGGTAAATTTAAAACAATTGTTTGGGGGTTTTTTTTCATCAAGAAAATGGCTCATTGCCAGTCTCACATGATCCTTCAGAAATCATTCAAATATGAGAATTTGGTACTCAAGAAACATTTCTTATTTATATCAACGTCAAAAACAGGTGTGGTGCTTAACATTTTTAAAAACAAAGTTAAATAGAAAGTTCAATAGAACAATTCATTTGAAATAGAAAACTTTTGTAATATTATAAAAGTGGTACTTTTGATCAATTTAATGCATCATTACTCAATAAAAAGATTCTTTTTAAACTACCGACGCCAAACTTTTGTATGTTTTGCACATCCCTTGTGTACATAACTATAACAATGGACTATGTGCACGTTAGCATATGCTAGTTCCGGCTGCGAAACCGATATGGGGCGTCTAGTTTCCGGTAGGCTGATGGACGACGTAGAGGATGTATGTTTCTCCAGATGTCTTGAACATTTGCCGAATATTACAGTCGATTATGTTCATCGACTGGCTAATGATTTTCCTCCAGCTCCCCAGAGCAAGAGAGAAGGGGTTTAAATATTACATTTCTCAGTATTTGCATCATTTTTAAGGGAACGTTAAGTCACAACAACATCCATGCTCAGACTGATCTCATGAAATTGCGTATGTATGACACGTATCACGTATTTTTGGCATGCTATCAACACGCATAATCTCTTTTCAGCGTGTTTATAAATACCGTTGACTTAACGTTATGATTGTATATATATATATATATATATATATATATATATATATATATACATACACAGTGTATATATATATATATATATATATATATATAGCATATGACCTACCTCAACCCCAACCTACCCGTCACTCCTACCATCCTAGGAAAAAATAAATATCGCTCCCCAGATGTAGATCTACATTTTGTTTTGTTTCGCTCGGACATTTGACGGCGTGTACATACGCGGTACACGTGGAATCACTCGGACATTAATGTTGCCATGCTCAAGCTATGCGATTTGGTAACTGTTCTCTCTATACATTATAAAATGCGAAATCATGCGTTAGAAAGTGCATTTTCTAGAACAGTTTGTGTTGGCCATTGTTTTGTTTATGATGTTCAGAGGCTATGTTGTTGACAACCACTATCGTCATATAGATCAGTGTTGACAACCACTATACATGTCATACAGGGAGTAAAGGTATCCGACGTTGGTTCGTTCGTTATCAAGTTAGGCTGTTTAACACATATTAGGCTGTTCACACATATTTCTAAACAGGTCTCCCTTTCAAAATAGGTTCTAAACCCAGGGGCTTCTCCTGGTTCAAGGGTATAATATAATAAATAATTAGTAGCCTAAAAACTTCCTTCTAGTTGTCATGGATACGCAACGCTCCACTCTGTGAAGCGACTGCTTGGGTGCGGTGACAAAATGTGAAATATCGTTTACTTTTCACAATGCAGCAGCGCCTGGCTCGACCCAAATATGAGTGAAAACTGTGTTGGTTGACTTGACAATGAACAAACGAACATAGTTTTAGACAAATATATTTAGATAGCTAAGCTTTAGATAGCCGGTCCACTGATGTAGGATGTAAACAACGGCAACCGGAACCGAAGTACCCAACATCCGCCCTCAAGGCGGAAGTTAGCATTTTTCTCGTGCACATAGTCAATCATAAGAGATTACATACATATACTCGTCTTAAATGTACAGAAGAAAAACAAAAAAAGTGCTGGGTTGGAAACGTAAAAACTAAAGTACGACTGTTTTGGGAATTAATGTTGTCTAACATAAGTGGACTTCAGGGGAATATTAAAATAAAAATATAAAAACAAAACTTAAAATGTGACTTAACTTAATAAGGCACCATTTAAGCAGCATTTCTGTGCTAGTCATCAAAAGACACAAGAACACTGTGTCTGTCCTGAACACTGGACAGTATTTGGCGAAGTGACTGGAATGTTA